GACCTAGTATATAGTTACACCAATGATCATAGTATATAAGTTGCAAAGAATCAAAGAATACAGTTACATTTACAGTAACAAGTATATGGGACACCACGGCATCCTCCTTGACAAAAATGGTACAGCCCGCATATATTATCTAACTAGAGAACTGCACCCCCATGGGCACATCAGTGCCAAGCTTTGGGTCTTTGTTGGATACTATTAAAAGGCTGCATTTTGCATAATAGGACAATAGTAACATAAGGTTACATTTCATTTGTGGGCTCATGGTACTTGTGCACAGAAAGATAATTTGATAGGGTACTGGAAATTGGTTATGTAAATAAGCATAGTAATTAAATTAAATCCATAATTTGAAATGCTAACAGGGTACGAAATACAATATGAGAATACAAAAATACAAAGTACAAAATACAAAAAGCAGTGTGCATTGAGAGAATTACATTTTTATGAGGTTGGTGCTTTGGTATTGTGCATGTTTATGCATATGTAGTATAGGGTTCAAAGTTCAGTTCGTTGAATTGTGTGCACTAGCAGTTCAAAGGTCAAGATCAAGTCCAGTTCGTTGGAACGTGCACACTTTTTTTTTGTGGTTTGATTTATGGGTACACAGTCGGTTCATTCGTATTTTAAATGTGTATTCAGAAACTGAAGGCACTCATGGGATGAAGATTTCATCTGTTACTTAGATGGCGATGTTCTATGGCCTTGAAGTAGTCGTTTGATTTTATTTTAATCATTCCGATGTACTGAGGAGCTTGTCCATATTGCCTTAATATGCTATGGATGCTTAATGAATCTTTTAAATTCAATTTCGATGTTGTAGGAATGCTTGATATGATGCAGCGGAGAAAGTAATGATCTTTCGTACACATGTCCGTTATGTGTAGGAAGTGGGCCGTGTCCTGTGATGTATCGGATCAGGAAGTAGGGAGTGATTACAGGTGTGCAACCATGATCTATCAATAGTGGTTGTCTTCAAGGATCTTCTCTGGGTCTGCAGCTAAGGAACCTAGTAGCTGACACAGAGCGAAATCTCTTTAACGTAGATCCTGACACAGAAATATTGCATTATCAGGATGACTTTTTGTTAGTTACCAAAGGACACGGCCACAACGCATATGAGACTACAGCACAAGAATGGACAAAATGGGTCAACGAACATAAACTAATTATTGCCAACTTAAGAATTCAAAGTATGCTTATCTGCCCAGGTAAGTGCCATCGACGAGCACCGTGCATCAGTCTTTATAGCAAAACTATTAAAATAGTTAGCAACATGAGATACCGTGGGGTTAAATGATGATACACTCACCTAGATCCCACATTCAAAGCAGGTCAAAGAACGATTTCACAGGTTATTTTTCTCCATGGTTTGAACAGCAGCATCAATATACAGAGTTCTTCGAGTATACTTAGAGCATGGTATACAATAGTTTTGGAGCGAATTGCGCTGTATGGGACCTTCATGTGGTGCGTAACTGTTACTATTTGAAATGGAGAATCTACTATGTTCAGCACAAAAACCATTCCTCCTAAGCATTCGGCGAGGTTATAAAACTCGCCTACTAATGCACTAAGCGGGATTTCAGGACTGCTCCCTATGCATCTGTTAGTTCAGCGGGAGTGCATGTGTTCCGATTAAAAGAAACAACAAGTTTGTGGGATAGGACTTATTTATATACTAACTATGAGCAAAGCATTTCCGAGCCACCTTGTCGATATTCATCAACTACGGAGCTTCCTGGGACTCTGTACCTATTACTGAAGATTCGTGAACACCACAAGGGCTCTGCATAAATTAACAGAGAGTAAAAAAAAAATTCGCGTGGACTGCGGTGTGCGAAAAATCCTTTAACAAGTTCACGCCGGGGACAATTTTTATGTTCTTCGCCGTGAGACGGCGCTCGAATTTTTGCCGCGTTTCATCTGGCGGCGCGCGATTATTACCTCTTCAGACCTGTATACGAGTTGTACTTTTGCTAATAGTTATTAATAATAATTGTTATTAAAACGTTTTTATAATAAATAAACATTAATTTTTCATTATTTTAATTTTCACCGTCTAATAACACAATCGAATGTGTACCATCGGTGGCATGCGCCGCCCGATAAGACAGACTAGTGCGGGCCACTGTGGTACGTGCCTCCCGATGAGACAGACTATTGCGGGCCACCGGTGGCCCGCGCCGGCGTGAACGTCTTAATCAGTTGACAGCGGCATTGATATCTACGCCCGTGCTCGCATATCCCCAGACCGATAAGCAATTTATATTAGACACAGATGTGACCAACGGAAGTATGGGAGCTGTCCTTTCCCAAATAATTAATGGTCAAGAGCGAGTAACAGCCTATTGGAGTAAGTGATTATCGAAACCGGAAAAGGATTATTGTGTCACCCGTAAGGAATTGCTTGCTATCGTAAAAACCACAGAAGATTTCCATCATTTCCTGAACGATAAATAGCCAGATGGTTTCAAAGAATCCAGGAATATGACTTAAGAGATAAAATGTCGTCTAGGATTCTCCTATGGAAATGCTCCAGGAAGCCTTGTCCTGCACACTGCAAGCTAACATCCGGCAAATAACATCTGCAACATCACCCGATCCAGATCTGTGGAGTGATGAAAAAGTTAAAGACCAGTTGGCGGATCCTGACATTATGCCAATCTGATCCAACAGAGCCATAGAGCTGAAGGAATCATCCAGTATAAAATCCAAGTGGCAGGACATTTCCATCTTCAGTCCTAAACTAAAAGGTACTGGGCTCTCTGAGACTCACTCCACTTCCAAATGGAGTCTTATATCGACTATAAAAAGCAATGATGGAACTAATAAGAGATGGCAGCTGTTGCTTCCTCGAGACCGAAATACCTGATGTTCCGAAGAAAATACACAGCAGTCCAGCAGGAGGGTATTTCGGCTACAGGAACAAACTTTGAGAGAGCTAAATCTGGAGTTAAGTTAGAATCGATGTTGAGAAGTGGGGCCGATCTTGTGATGACTGAGCAGCCGAGAAAGTACTTTCGAGCAAATTGCTCTCTACATACTTGGACCTCTTCCAAGGACCACGGATGGCAACAAATACATCCTCATTGTCATAGATTATTTTACGAAGTGGCCCAAAGCGTACCCAATTCCAGACAAAGAGGCCGTACGACAGACACAACTTGGTGTCTATGTGAGGGATCCCTCCAGATTAATTCCGACTATGGCAGGAAGGTAACTCTTCGGCTGTGTTCAAGGGACTCTGCGATATACTGGAAATCAAAAAACGCAAACTACCCCGTTACTTCTGCAATCTAATGGCATGGTAGAGGGGTTTAACCGTACAATCCTGAAAAATCTCTCGCTCATGGTTTCCAAGAACTAAGAAAACTAGGATAGCAAGCTGCCCCTGTTCCTGCTTGCTTACCATAATGCAGTCCACAAGAGCACCGCTATTCTCCATTCCAGTTGCTCTTCGGTCATGATCTCCATCACAAGGGACCTGCTCTTCTGCTGCCCTGCATTTCTGCCAAACTGCAGTTGCATTGGAAGGGTCCTCAAGCAGTTCTCATCAGACTGGACGAAGTCGTGATACGGATCCGTAAGTCAACCAATTCTAAACCTAAGGTCATTCATTGTGACAGATTAGCCACATACTATGGTACCTAGTACTTCTCATTCTAAAGGGGCGTTCCCACTGGGGTTTATCTGAGCTAACGGAGTCAGTTCCATTATCGACTAGCTCCATTATGCCTGCAGTTCAGATTTTTCAACTTGCTGCCGTATGGGAAAAAACTGGTTTTGGAGATAAGTCGGCTACGTGAGTTGTCTCCGTTAGCTCAGATAAATTTCAGTGGGAACTGCTCTATAGAGGTACCCATAATTCTTATTAACGCAATCACTTGTAAATAGTGTAAATATTTATTTGTCTTAATTTTCCTTACTTTCTTGTTTGTTTTGTTATCCTTAGTTTGTACTGAATTTGGCTTCTGACCAAGGATTGTATTGCCCGGGACGTGCAGTCCATGGGGGGGGGGAAGCCTTGCAAAATGCCAAGCTGCGGTAAGATAACTTCCCTGCAACCCTGGTTTAGGGTTTCCAGAAAACTGCAAAGTAAGGCAGGCTGCCAGATTTGGCGCCAAATTGCCCAATTGGTGCCAAATTAGCGATATGCCATATTCGGAGTGAAAACATTCTAGAACGAATTCTTACCGGTTTCCCAAGAATGTTCTCGAAGGCAGGTAAAAAACTATAAATATCCTGCCTATATACTGAGTAGCAGTTTATCATGAAGAGTATCTTGAATGTGTTGAGTTCAGGTATTAGCTCGAGAGCGATGAATTGAGTCGGAAGCTGTCTTCGCCGTTAGTCTGATAGCCTGAAGGCAGCGATGCTGTTTCTTTCAGCGTGTTTATCATAGTTTTTTGATGGCTGTAAACGTGTCTTTGTAACTCTCCTGTGTAATACTGATGAATAAATTGTGTTTTTGATTTTTCATCAAGTGTTGTCATCAGTCACGCCAAATCCACGAACCCGTAGAACGTAACAATATAGAAAAATTTTTAACATTTCTATCTGTTAATTATAACAAAGGTTTTTCCAATTTCCTGGTTTATTATTTTTACAAAACTGCTGTCGGGTTAAACATGATTTTGGCCTAACCGTGGGCACCCGTCTTCGGTGCCTTTTAATCAGGAGTCAGTTGCATTCAGTTTTAATTTTATTCATTGATTGATATGACAGCAATCAATTATAAAAAGAGCCGTTCATCGTCGTATTTTTAAACATATTTTAGTGCCATATGAAATCAAAAACAAATATATTATGACTGTTGTACTTTCATCTTTGCTTCTTCCACTGCCAAATTTTGAGTTTCTTAAATTAAGGTTTTGTTGATTTAAATGCTTCATTAATTCGGAAAAAAAATTACTGAACATTACTTCAACACTGTACATATGTTTTTATTATTTATTAATATTGATCTGAATTTCATTATTTCTCCTTGACAGTATGAACCTCATGCTGAAAACATTATCTCAGCTTGTGTTGAAAATGGTACCCATTATGTGGATCTTAGTATTGAAATCAGAGTAAGTTTTCCTGTTATATGCTAAATTAAAATACGAAAGATTTAAAAAATACAGGAGGCTTCTGATATTTTAACGATGCTCCTTTCCTTTCAAGCCTTTCCTTTTCAAGCGCTTACTTTATAATCACGTGTTTGATGCATGGTCCATTACATTTGAGCTATTATTTTATTTTACGATTTTCTTTATATGAATGAACTTTTTGCATTTCACTGTACTTATAATCCTTATGTATAGTAGTTTTTTCTCTTAATGAAATATTGCAGTGTATTAGATTTTTGTCAGCCAAAATGCATTCGAAACTTTATTGCATTTTGTTTGTTTAAAAAAAGTTATCGCATTTCAACGAATTTCGATTTTTGACAATGTTAGAATAATGGGAAACGCCAGTCGATAAAAGTTTTAGAAATGTTGGTACTTATAATATGTATTATTCCGTGGACTGTGAAAGTTCGCTACCATCGAACCATCAAAGTTGGCAGAAATCCCACCAAAGTTGCGCCAATTTTTCCTGCGGAATTCTGAAGAAACTGACATCTTTGTATTTAATAAACAATCGATATTCCACCCGCTCTTTTTTTAGTTTCGTAGAAAGGTTTTCGTCTATTTCTACTGTTTTGTTTGGCTCTCTCATTTCACCGGAAGTTCTGTTTAGAACGCTATGAGTACAAATTTCCTATGAGTAATTGTTCCAATCTATTACTCTTGCTTGTTTTATTCCGTTGATCATATCTAGTGTCTTATAAACACATATAAAAATGTCTATACAGTCTATACATACTGTTTTTTGATGATAGGATTCCATAATTCTGTAAATCACCCAAATTTTAATCATTTTTTTTTCAAAATCAAAGAGGGGGGGAATAAAGCAATAACAATTAGTTTATAACCTTGATTTTCATAAAAACAAAAGGTGGCTTAATCATTTAGTGTTACATCAAACGAAAATGCAGATGATATGAGTATGTTGTTACATCACGCTCATCCATAACTGGCGCTAAATCACGCTGTTTGGCGATGTTTTCCCAGTCGATAGGCTAATACGTAAGTATCGAAATATTTTAATTTTACTAACGCTTATTAATTTATATCATTATTGTTTTAAGTTCATGCAGTAATTTTCTTTCATCTCTCATTATTAACGTATTTTCTTTCTGTAAGTTCTTTTTACATATTCAAGCAAGATATTTCCGGAGTGCTCTTGAGAAAAACATTTACATAGTACAACAGTGTGGATTTGGTTGCATACCTTCTGACTATGGTGTTTGCTTATTAAGGGAAAAATTTCCAGGTAAATACATGCCTATTTTGGTGAGTTTTCTGTAATTTTAACGTCTGCACTAATTTGTTTACCTTCCATAACTACTGTGCTACATGTATCATGAAAAATATGGTATGGTAAAGTTCTGAGAAAAGTGCCGTCTATATCGTTGCAGGTAGCGGGAGTCAGGAGTATTTGTCAATAGTAGGATATCTGTGAAGAGCAACTATAATTCTTGTGTGTGAAGTTCCAGCATAAAATTATGCTGTCTGCTATAAAAGAAGAGTATTAGCGGTGTATACATTAGAAGGGGAGAGAAATAAAATTATTTTACTAAATTTAGATCATCGATATGTAAAAAAGCTGCCTTTTATTAAACCTGCTTACTGTGACAAGTTTTCCCCCTAATTAGAGAGGATCTTTGGCTGTTGAAATCTTCTTCAACGTTTCAGCTTTACACCATTTACTTTAAAACTAAGATACTGATGTTCTACATCTCGGCTCACAAACATAGTTTACTTGGCTCTCAACCACGACGCTTTTCTTCAAGCAAATTGGTTTCCAGCGAATTTGTTATTGTACTTCATTTGCTGTTTTTTGCACATTTTGCCAATATTTTTTTAAATCGAAAATCAGTTTTAATTAGTTTTAATTTGCGATATACATAAGTGTACCTGGCAGTATTAGATGCTTTGTAGCTTTTGAATGGATCATCAAAATTTTTTAATTAAAATGTGCTACCTTCTTATGTTTACAACTAAAGCGTTATTTATTTGTCGGCAAAACCTCTTAACAAAATGTAAACAGGAACTCAGTGTGGCTGTTTGTTGGGTTCTCAGTATTAATAAGAAAGCTCAAAGTTGCATGGGGAAAAATACTATCTTTTCTGCTTCAGATCAACAAACATTATACAAAGTGATAGAATTTCATAGCAAATACAGTGTTGTTAAGAAAAGCTGGAAAAAGGATGGTAGAGTTAATAACTGAAAACAAAAGAAAGAAAAAAGTTGTTTCACTGGGAAAACTATCTGATATTTCCTTGTGTATGTACAAAAATTTCAACTAGTGTTTGTAACATAAAAGTGCCTGAAAGAATAAGATGAATTTTCCCTTTTATATGCCTTTCTGAGAAATGTGATCTCCTCTTATATGTGAAGATTAATAGTTAGAAAATGCATTTAAGAAAATTTGGTACTTATCTCTTCCTTTGATTTTAAAAGAAAACGTATTTATTTAATATTGCTTAAAAGATGTTATTTAGATAAAATAATTAATTTTCTTGAGGAATATTTTTAATAGGTCAAATGTATATATATATCTTCTTTTTCCGTTCTTCATAAAATATTTTTAGAAATGCGTGATTAATTTATATGTGGACTTTATAATAGCATCAATGTATTACAATTTTATCAATTTATTTCTGAATTTGGTGTTTGTTTATTCATCAGAGTACAGTTTAAATATTTATTACTAAGCGAACAAAGTATTTTCTTTATTGATAAACATTTTGTACTTTTCAAAAAAAGTAAATCTTGTTTATTTACAGGTGTTTTAAATTCTGTAGAATATTATGTTGAAATCGGAGAGGGACCTCAGGTTAGTTCCATATCTTGTTTTAAAAAATTCTTTATTATACTGTTTTTAATTTAAAAGTATTCTAATCTGCTTTGTAAAGAACTTCAAGCTGTAGTTACCCAATGAATGCCTTAAACTTGATATCTGTTCTAAGCACTTAAAATAGATACCAAGTTCAAGAGAATCGGGGAAAATATACGAATCAGAGCATGTGCAATGATCAAAATCATAAAGAATTACGAATCAGGAAATATTTAGACACACGGCAGTGTATCAGCTAAGTTCGGAACAGGCGGGAAAAAAAAAAAAAAAAAAAAAAAAAAAAAAGCGAGTGTATCTTACACGAACCATTTCGAGCTACCTCCGACCTCCCCATTACTCAAAAACTATTAGACCAACAAATGTATAACTTCGTATATCTAATACAGCTTCCTTGAACACCTACAATCCTAAATTTCATCAGTCTGCCTTTTATGGTTATGGAATTATAAAGGACTCAAAACTGTAACTTTTTTACTCACTGATCAAAACCTAGACCACTTCTAAATGACTTAGATACTTGAAATTTGGAATTAAGGTAGATCATAAGGCATATACAAAGGAAAAAATCTAGAACTTTAAAAAAAATACTTTATTATAGAATTTAAACAAATAATATTCATAACGAGCATTTGACAACGTCACCAATAGATGGAGTTGCACCGATCGGCGGCTTCCGTGCCATTCAGATGCTAATCAACCTTGCTGAAAGTGAGGAATAAAATCCTATTTGTAATACATGAAATGATAACGCAGAGGCAGAGTGCAAGACTCTCTTTTTCCATTTTGATGGTTGGTTCGGGGCCTAACTACATAGATAAACTAACTACAACGAAATCGCAAAAATAATGTAAACAGCTTTCAAAAGACAAAAGCGTTGCCATTCAGTAACTCAAATTTTAGTAATGAAACAGAGTCAGATGCAAATAAAACAATAAAAAACTGCGAAAAGGAAACGCGACCGAATCTATACTTTAAAATAATATTTGAGCATTTATATTGTTTAATAATAAAAAAAATAGCTGATTAAAGTTATTGTTTTACATCCCTTTAAAAAATCTAAAACTTCAAAAAACTACATTATTATTGAGGTTAAAACCAAATAATACTCATGGGGGAATGTCGACAATTTAATAATTAAGAAATTGCTATTAAAAAGAAACCAATGCAGTATAAACGCAACACTTCCACCGTTATCGAAAATATAGACATTGCTAATGACTTGTACTCAGGAGCTGATTGACTTTGTGTTTCATAACAAAGATTATCGTAACAATGTATTTATTTTATTATTCATATATTAACCATTTTGTTGTTGTAGAGGAGCGATCTGGTCCCTAAACATTTTAAATTCTCAATCACAAAGCTGTAAGATTTGTTGCAGCAAATACACAAAAAAGAATACTCAGTTACGATTGTGTAGGTCGATAGCAGCGCCGCCTATCGGCAACTCCTAGTGACTACTAAACAAATAATAAAAAGAAACCAGTGCAGTGTAAACGGAAGAAAAAAATTGGAGGTCGCGTATTTGTTTAGACGCCTTTTTCATTCAAGTGTCTAAATAAGAACATACCTTTGATTTAGCTTTTCAAAAATGAATGATATTGTCGCGGTGTGCGGAATGCGACAGTTAATATTTGTAGAGGCTTGGCTAGGATTTCACTGTATGACGTATTAACACACATAGAGATAGTTGACTTCAAATAATAAACATTTAATTACACTAATTACAACATAATTACTCATTACATCAACATTGAAGATATTTGCATCGGTACACAAATACGACCGAGCCCGACGGCGACAGAGCGTGAAGTGATTTTTGTGCGTCTCGAAAATCTCCGTTACAGTTACAACTAGAGATTCGGGCACGTTATTGCGAGTAACGAAAACAAGTTCCTTTAGTATCGCCACAGTACTACCCCTCCAGTGTCAACGAAATTAAAGGTACCGACGGTTAAATCGGATCCTACGTCCAGAACGTGTATGCGGAAAAACATCTTGGCTCTGGAATCCAGGCACAGGCGATGATGCAATGACAACTGGAGGTGTAGACACATGGGGGTGAAGGTGTAGGTGGTTTCGAAGGGGAAATAGCTGAAATATTAGTCTTGGCAGTTTCTGGTACAAAAATAAAGGCCGGTTTAAGACGATCAATGCCGATCACTGTTTCTTTGTTACCGATAAGTATACGATAGGTCTTGGATGTGCGACCTAGAACCAGATCCTAAAACTAAGCCATATATGTAAGCTCCAAAGACCTTTTTGATGCATCACACTTTAAAAACACTTGCGATTATTTAGCGCGCTCTTTAGGAATAAACACATATCTTGAAGAATGCACAATTGTGGCTGTAGGAGCTAATGCAGCCATGGTTTCACGCAATTTTCAGAGAAATACATGAGGCTCGACACATTGATTTTTTGGAGGGTTTATAAAATCTCCAGGTAAATGTAAATTGACACTGTAGACCATTTCAGCATTGGAATAACCCAGGTCCTCTTTAAAAGCCGTTCTTAATCCTAACAACACTGTTGGAAGAACATCAATCCAGTGAACAGAAGTATGGCGTCTAATGACCTGCTTAAGAGAACGATGAAACCTCTCGGCAGGTCCATTCGAATTCGGATGGTATGGTGATGTGCGGATCTTTTTAGTTCCCAACAATTTCGTTAATGCAGTAAATAATTGAGACTCGAACTATCGTCTCTGGTCTGTGGTAATGCACTCGGGTATTCCAAACCGTGAGATCCACGAGGAAAAAAAATGTTTTGGACACTATGTCAGCCGACATATCCAAAATAGGGATAGCCTCTTGCTAACGTGTGTACCTGTCGATACACGTAAGGAGGTATGCATAACCTTGTGATGAAGGTACGAGTCCAACCAAATCGATATGGATATGGCTAAAGCGAGCAGATGGTAACTCAAAGTGTTGCAATGGAGTTCGAGTGTGTCTGTGGATTTTTTACCTTTGACAGTCTGCAGATGCTCTAGCCCATACAGGTGACAGGTGACAGAGGAAGGGGAAGCATGAAGTTTAACAGAGGTTAAGAGGCATATGTCCCGCGTCCAATTGCTCTAGCCCATACCGCGATTCTGCATGCCAGGACACACAAAACGTTGTTGAATTAACATGCGAGAATCTCTGATGCCAGGATGGGATAAATTGTGAAGGCTGTTTAAATAAAAAGTCTAAATTTCAGGGAAACGTATCGCCACACCACATTGTTCTTCACATCGCAGTACAGTGAAAGATTTGGTTGCAGCTGTATAGGTAATAGAGCTGCAACCAAATGAGTCCATGTGAACCTTTGTCAGACAAAAGATTTTGTAATTCTAATCTTGTTTCTGACACTCTGAAATGGCGGAGAAATCTGTTGTTGTAGGCAACTGAACTTCTTCAATTCTGGACAGAGCATCAGCGACCGTATTTTGAGAGCCTTAAACATACCTAATATCAGTTGTAAACTGCGCTATGTAATCCAGGTGACGCATTTACCTGGTGAGGCCCTGCCGGGCTTTTATTGAAAGGCGAAAATCAGAGGCTTGTAGTCCGTATAGATAGAAAATACTCGGCCTTCCACCATATGACGAAAATGTTCAACTGTCTCATACGCACTAAGGAGTCCGCGATGGTACGTTCTATGTTTTGATTGTGCTGCAGAAAACGTTTTTGAGAAGAATGCCAGTGGCTTTCAATGCTCCGTCTGTAAGCTGTTGCAAAACCGCACACATGGCCGAATTAGAAGCGTCAACCATTAATGCTAACGGATGCTTTCAAGGGTAGCTAAGAGCTGTTGACGACAATATGTCCTCCTTACATTATACAAAGGCTGTGCAAGATTCGGCTGACCAAATAATTGGCCGCGTATCTTTCTTTTTGCTGTCGATCAAATATGTATGCAAAGGCGCCTGCTTTGCAGCGTCATGAGGGAGAAAGCGAAGATAAAAGCTCAACATGGCCAGAAAACGTCGCAATTCCTGGACAATTTGGGGTACTGGGAAATTTTGAATTCCAGAAAATCTATTAATCACCCTCCGAGGAAACCTCATGACCAAGAAATGACACTTGAGATTTTCCGGAAACGTATTTTGATGGATTGACAACCACACCATAGGACTGAAATCCATCAAGAACTAAACGAAGGCGTACACCTTCGTTTAGTTCTTGATGGATTTAGGTGCTCATTTTCATTTGTCGAAGCTACAATAATATCATTTAAATATGGCACACAAAAGTCTAAGTCATGAAGGACTTCATTTATGAAACGCTGAAACGTTTGTGTAGCGTTACACAACCCAAAAACCATAACAGGAAATTCAAATAATCCAAAAGGAGTTATGACAGCAATTTTTGGTATATCAGGTGGATTGACTGGAGTCTGATGATAAGCACGAGTTAAATTTAACGTAGAAAAAACACTTTTTCCTTCCAAAACTTGGATGCAGTCCTGAATATGAGGAACCGGATATCTATCAGGCAAAGTAACTGCGTTAAGACGTCGGTAGTCCCCACAAGAACGCCAGTCATCGTTTTTCTTGGGAACCATGTGTAGTGTACTGGTCCATGTACTTTTTGAGAGCCGATAAATTCCCTGTTCAAAGCATATATTTAAATTCTTCTTTTGCGGCCTTAATTTCTTAAAAGGCAACCGCCTTGCTTTGGCAAAGATTGGTGGTCCAGTGGTGTCTATGTGATGTACAATACTGTGGTCAGCAGCTGGTTTTACGGTTTCCGAGCGGATGACATTATAATACTGCTCAAGTAGTTTGTGGAAAGAATTACCGGCAATTAATTTAATTCCAAAATTAGTGGCATTTCCAATATCACCTTCAGCAGAAAATTGTGTGATTGAGTCGAGTTGAGCGTCGATTTTTAATGTCGACCAAAAGAAAAAATTTTTGCAGAAAGCCAGCATCAATTATTGGGTGCGAAACGGAAACTGTAACAAATGGCCATTGAAATTTGCGACGCAAACCGAAGTCTAAAGACATTAATATCTCTCCAAATGTAGCGATTTTCGATCCATTAGCTGCAAATAAGTTATAAGTTTAATTTTCCCGGCGGACGTTTTGATTCAGC